TTTAATAAATTTCATATTTTGTTAAAAAATTCAAGAAAATGACCGCATAAACCGCGTTTTTGTGAACGTTTTTTTTTTTGAGGCAGTTTTTTTTATACTTTAGACAGAGAATTCGACTGTTGGTGTTTGACGGTTTTATCTGTTTTTAAAACAAAAAGAGTTGGATTTTGCAAAGAATTTAATGAGGATTCCGAATCTGCAAAAAAAAAAAAAAAAAAAAAAAAAAAAAAAAAAAAAATCAAAAAATGTCTTGCTTTGATCATACATCTTTTTTTTAAAGAAAAGGAATTAAAATACGACTAATGAGGAGGAACAATTATAATTTAAAGTAATATTTACTTGATTAACATTTTTACAACATTAGTATGCTAAATTTAAGTAAATCTTAATTATCCAAGTATAATTATCCAAATATAAATTAAACGGATTAGAGTTTCAAAAATACCAAATCAATGATGAGAGAGTTTAAGAAAAAATCGGTATTAATAATAATCGATATTAATAATAATAACACAACGTGTCTAGTGAAGAGCTTCTCTAATATTATTAGAGAAGCTATTCTAAATTCGCAAAACATTTTTGTGAACGCATAATTATTTTCAAAAGAAACAAGACATTAGTTTACAGACAAAAATATATATTTATCAGTTAGTTTGAAACAAGCAGTGCAAGAACATCAGCCTTTAGATATTCACCATTTTCCAAGTTCTAATTTTCGAAGCTCGTAGAAGTAATAAGGCCGATCTAACTAGAAGGTGGTTGAACTGGTTTTAAATAAGATTAACTTGAAAAAGTTTTGCGTTGTGATCTAATTTAACTTTGTCGATTTCTTTGTAAAAGGCATAATGAAATTCTTCTTAAAAAAATCCAATAGGCAGTTCAAATGTTTCTGAAATCTGAGTCTCATGTTCAAGGAGCTTGTATACAGTTGAAGGGATTACATACCAGGAATAATTATTCACTATCAGATTTGCAGTTTTATTGCGGAACAATTTGAATTTTACGCTGTTTGAAATCCGACCAATTTACCTTAAGGGCTGTCCTCAATCTGGATTAAGTAGAGGCATTGTTAGTTAAGGCATAAATAATCTTTCTGTCAAACATTGTAAAATGTTCATTGTAACAGATCTTTTAAGTTATTATTATAACTCGGTTACTTCCAACTTTTACTTTTCCACAACCACTCTACGTAGTCTTCATTTTGACTACAAACCACAATACAAAACCACAATACAAAAAACACTTTACATAAACGGTTAATATAGATCTTTAATTACAGTATTATAAAACAACTAAATTTTTTTTTGATCGCCGTCGGATCACATACATAACAGAAGCATTGTCCTCCACATAAAAAGTTATAGATAGCGAACGATTTTGTTGAATTTACTTTTGTTTATTTCTAGCTTAAGATTTATATTTAATAATATTAGAAATGTAAAATTTGTATATAAAAACAAATAGTTTAAATGAACTAGTTGATTCCAAAGAAATACTATTTCCCCGACAAACGCAATACAAAATGTAGATGTTTTCAATTAGAACATACTTGATATTGATTTAAAATAAATACAAATTTAGCCATATTTACCTTTAGATACATGACACACTTTTAAACATTTCTCAATAAAGTGCAAAAAAGTGCAGCTAAAAATGTGCATGTTAATTTTCTATACTATTAGTGAGGTGTTGATACAAAAATTAGGGTAGAACTCAGTGGCGGATAAAAACTTCTAGGGGCGCGGGGCTATTTTTATTTTTTAAGGCTTTGTTATGGGCCAGAGCCTGAAAATGACTAAAAAAAAAAAAAGGCCTCTAAAATTTTTTGGGGCCCCTAAATTTGCGGAACCCGAGTCCTAGCCCCTCCCCTCCTTGATTAGGCACTCGTGGAACTAGATGAAACATTTTTTGTTGACAACTCGTTGTAAATATGAGTAAATTTTTTTTAAATCCTCTAAAAAAATTGTTTTCTAGTTTTAAAACTAAAATTTTTAGAATTTTTTTGTTTTAAAAATATTTTCTATATTTTAAGAGATAAAATAACATTAATAAGTAATTACACTTTTGTTTTAAGACTTTTGACTGGTGTAAAAAGTTATTTTAAAAACATGTCAAATTGTCCGCACAACTCGCTTTTAATTTAAAAAATGTGTTTATTGCTGATAAAAACGTTATAAAGAGCCAAATAAATAATTAAAAAATATTTTTTTATTATTAAATCAATAATTCTCATGTTTTAAAAAATAGATTTTAAAATTTTAAATCTAAAAAATTAATTTTTTTAAATCCAATTATGGCCACTTTTTAAGATTTCTGAGACACTGTGCGGCGCTAAATATAGTGCACTATAATATAGACTATATACTAAATATAGTATAGTAGTATTAAAGTACTATATAAAACTGTATAATACAGTCTCAGTGTCGGATCAAGGGGGGGGGGCGAATTGGAGGAGGGGCTATAGCCCCGGGCCCCGTAAATCTAAGGGCCCCCATAATTTTTAAAGTACTTTTTTTTTTTTTTAGTCATTTTTAGGCTCTGGCCCATAAAAAGGTCTCAAAAACAAAAAAAAACCCGGGCCCCAAGAAGGCTTAATCCGCCACTGTACAGCCTGTATATATTTTATTAATGTTAAAGAACTATATACAGTATACAGGAATATTAAAGTGAAGACTTTATATTTATAACAAAACTTATCGCTTTTTCTTTTTTTATTATTAACATATTCAAAGTTTAACTAAATAAAATAAATATTACTTAGAATTAAAACATTAAAACTAAAACTAAAACATTAAAACTAAAACGGTAAAATGTTAAAATCCGTCGTCTTTGCTTTAGGTCCTTAAAATTAAAATACCGCGCCAAAGCTGTTTAATTTTTAATGAATTTTAAAAAATCCCAAGAAATGAAAATATTTGTAAATCGAAAGTAAACGACAAAAGCAAAATCCATCTCGTTAGATAATATTGAAAGTTCAAATTTCAATATTTTGGTGACATTACTATATTATCAGATTTAAGATATGTATTCAAAGTCTAGAAGTTTTAATAAACTTAAAGGAATATCTATAAATTTGAATACAAGTTAACAATAAGTACATCTATTTAAGATTGTTACATTCAAAATTAGAGAATTCACGATCGAGGTATATGTCTATGTTTTGTTGACTGTTACGTCATAATTAAAATCTATACGTCATACTAACAATCTATGCTAGACGATAATAAAAATACATTAAAAAAAATTAAGTTTTATTTTTAGGTTATCCTTTAAAGGACATATAAATCCTAAACTCTAGTTTAATATTTTTCTTGAAAATTTTAGTCTAAACTAATTTTTTAAAATTTAATTAAAAAAATTATATAATGTACTATTAATTTATTCAATACAAACACAACAGTTTAAACTACATAAATGTAAAATTATGAATTGAGTAATTAATAAAATTATTAGTTTAATAACTAAATATGGTCTAGAATAGAAATAATCTAAAAAAAAAAAATTAAAAAGTTTTAAAAAATCTAATAAAAATAGTGATGAAAAGTTTAACAGGCAAAAAACAAAATAAAAGTATTATTAAAGTTTTTTACACATCAAAAGTGTTTTTAAATAAAAAATCTTTTTGTTGTTAAAAAAATGTTTTTGATGTTTAAAATCATGGTTTCAAAATAAATTTGAAAAAAATATAAGATAAAAAATTCTAAATTGTCCTAATCTTTTTCAAAACACATATTTTGATTGCAAATGAAAAATAAAACTCAATATGGTCTACTGCAGTCTGCACTATCTTGTTTGGAGTCATAAATGAATTTAGAATTTCCCATAAGTTATCTTCTGAATTATATTAAAAAAAAAGAAAGTGTTTGACCAGAATTGTACAAATAGTATTGATTATGTTTGTATTCATAGTTTTTAGCTCTTTATTATTGCAAAACAAAACCTAAATTTGAGTTTAAAGATTTAAACAACATAAATCTTTCTTGCAATACTTGCATTGAATGGCATTGACAATATTGATTAATTTATTAAAATAATATTGTTCAAATTTATAGTTAGCAATTAGAGTCAGAACAGTCATTATCAATTTCAAGAATAAAGTCACATACATCAATATTACTACAGCATTTGTATCAATTTTTTCATGACTGTCATGTTTATCACAACTCTCCATTTTTACTTTATCATGCTCTCCATTTTTGTATATGTACCTACTCTACATTTTTGATATTTTAAAGTTTGTTTAGCACAATTTTTTTATCCTAGTTAACATTTAGAGTTGGATGTTAACAGTCACTATCAATTTTATGAATAAGGTTACATATATCAATATTACCACAGCATTTATTTGGTTTAATTTCTTAAATTAGTTGTCATGTTTATCATTACTCTCCGTTTTCACTTTATTTTTTATCATTAATCTCCATTTTCATAATAGTGCCTATTTACCATTTTTGTATAATTACTTATTATCCATTCTCCATTTTTGTATAATTACTTATTCTCCACTCTCCATTTTTGTATAATTACTTATTCTCCGTTTTTGTGTTGGCATTTTTAAGTTTGTTTAGCGCAATTTTTTAAATCTGGTATTTTACAGCTTCTATACTTTTAAAGAGATACCCCCTCCTTGTATTAAAAACTCGAGTCCTTAATACAAGGAGGATGGGGTGGGGGGGGGGGAGGGAAGGAGACTAATTTTTACTTGATTTTTATTAATGATCACTTGTTGCACTTTCTAAAGTGCAAGTGCTAAAAAGATCATAATTTTATTAAAAACCAAAATGATTTTTGGTTTAAAAAATTAAGTATTAAAAAATTTATATTACATAAAAGTCAATATGTTATACATTTGTCTAAAATTTATTAAATTTGGTGAAAGTGTAAAATATTTTTTTCAATTATCAGATTTAATTATTTACCTGTGATAACTTTGTTAAGAACCAATAGGCATACTTATTAAGATAAGTAATCTGAATTATTAATTTGTTGATTTTTTTCAGGAAAAACATACACAACAGATGTATATGAGTTTTGTTCTGATGCAGATTGGGAGGAGGTTTGGATTAAATTTGTGAAATATTGTTTACTTAATAAAATTTATCAATCAATTAAAAGTTACTTTTTAATACTGTTTTTAACATTTGAAAATGTCACAGAAAAAATTGCAGATAGTGATGTTATGTAAACTGTTGTAATTCTTTTTGATGTATTTTTTTTTAGGAGTTTGACTGGCCTGTCACAGGGTCACTTAAACCAAGTGACTTTATTCTTGTACAAGTTCTCAATTACAATAAACTGTTACCAAGCAGGTAAACGTATGTTTTAACTTTTTAAGTTGAAAATTTAAAAATATTACTAATAAATATAATAAAAAAGGTTTTCTACATGTGATTTACTAGTCTGGCATTGGTTAATAGCTGAGTTTATAAACTTTTCTGAAAATAGAGCTAGCACTTTTTGGTATTTAAATTGTTTTGGAAGTAAAATAAAGTTCAAATAATGAATAAAGAAAATATAGTTGAAGTTCTGACTCATTCACAAAAAAATAAAGAAATTTAAATAGACAACTATAAAAGTGTTAAATGTTGAACTTAATCATCAAGTTTTACCTTTTTAAGTAAATTTCCTAATGGAATGTTGTAAGTTGTAGCTGTCTTACTCCGATAAATTCTTATCGTTTGTATTTTAAAATCTTGCCAAAATTTTATGAATGAATATTTTTTCAAAAGATTTTGAAGCTAACAAATAGGTTAAATAAAATAGAATCAGAATGCATCAGATCCAAATAGAATGAAATAAATAAACTAAATTAAATGCAGTGCCATCATAATCTTAAGTACATTTTTTGGCCACTACTGTTTTGAACAATGTTTTACTTGGTTTATGAATTTTTTAAACAATGTTTCAACTTTTTTAAACATTGTTTTACTTGTTTTGTAAATTTTTTTAAACAATGAATTAACTTTTTTAAACAATATTTTACTTGGTTTATAATAATATTTGACTATAATATTTTTTAAATGGGAATGTCAACCATGACAAACATAATGTTTAAAGTTTCTTTAGTTTTGTATGTAAATAACAAATAATGGGTAAATAATTATACTATTTACCTATTATTATTTACTAATTTATTATACTTTTTATAATTTATTATTATAATAAATTATTATAGTAACTTATATAATTTATATACGTATAACTATTATTAGTTATTAAATTTTTATTATTTATATGTTTTCTTGTAAACATTAATTTTTTGTTTTGTTTTTTTATTCATCAGGGTGATAGGAACGTTTCAAATGTATTTAAAAAAGATGCTTAGTGAACCGTGGATTGCACTCACAGAAAATCTTGTTGATTCAAACAGTACAATATTGGCAGTAAGTTCAATTAAATTCTTACATTATTTTAATGTGTATTAAAGTATTTATTTTGAAGAAAATTTTAAATTAAGTTATCAAACCAGCATCAAGTACCTCTAAAAATTGACTGTTACCTGGTTTCCAATTAAAAAGGCTGGATTATGAGATCCCCATTTTCAATTGAAACCAAAATTTACCTTTTTGAGGGCATAAAAAATTCATTTCTAAAGTAAAGCATTTAATTGACATTAAAAGATTTACTTATTTTTTATGCTTAATGTCCTTGGCTCCACACTTTTGTGACTAGGTCCCCAGCCCCGGGTAAAAAGGAGACTTTTTGCAAATCCCACCTTGGCCCCCTCCCCAACCTCAGCAAAATCATAGGATTTAGCAGGGGTTGATAGCCGGGACTAGAAAAAAATTTATAATACTTTAGATATTATAATTTTATGCTTACATTTACTATTTATTAAATACTGGCCTACATTTATCTATTTTTAAAATCTAATTTACTTCCAACAAGGATGCAAGCAACAACTATTAAGTTATGAGTTACTTTAAAATAAAGGATAGAGTTAAAAGTTAGAAATTTGTTAACTGAAGACTTGTAATGTTGTAGGTTGTGTAAAAAAGGAAAAACAAAGATGGATAAGAGTTATAAAGTTTTTTTGATGTGCAAGAAAAAAACTGGATTAATAAAAGTTTTTATTGCATGATGGGACCGATAAAGTAAAAGGATGCAACCTATTGAATAAGAAGCCAAGCAAGAATGATTTTTGGTTTATCATAATAAAGATGATAGCTCATTTGAGCATTGACCATGATAGTATTTGTAGATAAAAGAAAGAAATGCAACTTTATGGCAATGGGAGAGTGGCTCAAGCTTGATAAGCAGGATGAAGCATGTCAAATTACATTAAAAATCTCTTTTTATACTTTGTCTAAGAGTAAGAGGGTTGTTATAATACAGGAATGTCAACAATATTTCAATATTTTTTGCAGTAAATAAAATTTGTTGCAATATTTTTTGTAGTTGTTGACTAAAATAAATTGTGGACTACTACTGTGAGCCACTGCAAGCCTTAAGTTGTTACATAAGAGAGATCAGATTTAAAATCAACTACTTATTTTAAACAATCAAAAAGTAAAGACTTTTTGTCAAAACAAGTGTATAAAGTTTAGTCATCTGCATATAGAGCCTTTTTAGATGTTAAATTTTTATGAAGATTGTTGTTATAGATAAGAAACAATACAGGAGCAAAAGTTTTTTGGCACCCTTAAAGTTACTTGAAATAAAGAAAAGTGTAGGCTTTCAAGTATGATTTTAATTAGAAATAATTAGAAATAAGTTTTAGGCGAAGATATTATATGTGGAAGAAATATTAGAATATTAGAAATAATTAGAAAGGAATAATTAAATAATCTCAAAAACTCATGAAGATTAATCATATTATAACTAATAGAGAGAAGACTAATCATAGGATAGTTCAGTGTTCATAGAGTTCAGTGTGTTTTCTAGAGTTTTTAAAAATTGGAACCAGTAATTAATAGAATTCAGTAAATTCAAGTAAATTTTTAAAAACTCTATAGAGTTTTTAAAAATTGGAACCATTTATTTAGCACTTATTAATAGTTTATCGGAAATTGAAGAGAGTTCTGGAGAAAACTTTTTTAAGATTAAAATGGAAATCTTGTCTGTAGCCCAAATTTGGATGTTTAACAATGTGTTAATCTGTTTAACTGGTATGACAGGACGAATTAGATTTAAGAGTCAATTTAGAGGAAAAGTTCTTTCCAAATAACTCTTCTCTATTCTTATGAGAAGTCAAAAATCAGACCCATGAATTAAAGATTAAATGTTAGGCTTACTTTAGTTATTGACACTGTTGAAGATTTTCCAAAAGTCTCTAGAATCTAACATCTGAGATAAGATACAAGATTTAGTAAACTAAGAATAACAGAGCTTAACATCAGACAGGACCTTTTTACATTGACTTTTTGCAATTATAAAAGGGCATTTGTTTTTAAGAGAGATGTTCTTATAAAAGAGATAAACAATAATGATTACAGTTTAATAAAGCTTGATCAAGATGGTGAAAAATAAAGTAGAATGAGGCTTGACTTAAAATTGAAAAGAAGGATTAAAAGTTTTCAAACTTTTATTTCAGAAGGAATAAAAGCTTCCAAAATGCGCATTTATGCATGTATAATATGGATATAAACATATATGTTTGCTATTTATTTAGATGCTGGCATACAATATCTTTACATATTTATATAAACTTTAGTATTTATATGGTGTAGTATTTGTCGAATGAGAAGATGATCAGATGGATGTGTGGTGTGACACTAACAAGACAGGAAAAGGAGACATAATCCTAGGCAGATAAGAAAAAAAAAAGTTGTATCAAGCTACAATTATTGAGAAGATTACTTAGTAGAAATAAGTAAGAAAGCTCAAAGAGAGTATATAAATAAGTTTTAGTTAAGCAAAGAAAAAGAGGGCTAAAGCCTGATGATGATGATGATGATGATGATGATGATCATGATGATGATAATGATGATGGTGATGATGATGATCATGATCATGATGATAATGCCGGTAATGGCAATGATGATCATGTTGATCATAATGATGTTTTTATATGCATATATATACAAAATATAACATGAATTTTGAATTTAAAAAATATTACTTTAGGGTGTATAAATGTTAGTGCAGCCCTGGTCACAAACTTGGCCCCGGCTATATTTTATCAAACCTGGTCCCAATCCAGGTCAAATTTCAACCTTGATTATTTATTTTGTGTTTAGGTGGTTTAAAGAAAAATTGAAAGTGCATTACCAGTGAATTGATGTGAAACAGTTTGGCATAAAAGTATGAAATTCTAAAAAATTAAAATCAAACATTATCTAGACTCTCCTTGTGAATCGCACGGATCGAAGGAGTCCCTAATATTAAAAAAGTCCCTAATGTTAAATCTCAAAAGAAGTGATGTTATATAAAAATTTCAAAAATAGTAATCATGTTTTATAAAAATATCTCTAAAAAAAGTTATTATAAAAACTTTATAAAAATATTATTTTTTTCATTTTATATTAAAAAACAATACTTGATATATAAATAATATCAACTCTGGCGTTAATAAAATTTATTCAATAAAATCTAATATAATAATCTGTATATAAAATAATTTTCAATTTTTTATATAATTTTGCTTCTTTTGAGACAATTACATACTTTTAAAGAACTTTTTTTATAACATTAAGGACACTTTCTTTAATATTATCAAATTCCGATCCTTATCAATTAAGGAGGAAAGTCTAGATAATGTTTGATTTCATACTTTTATGCCATATGCTTCACATGAAATCACTGGAGCCTATTGTAATTTTGTACAGGATTCATTTTTGCCATTTTCTTATTTGTGTATGACATTATGAAGGAGTTAAAGGAAATTTATACAATATATCTTAGAGAATTATTTAAAAACATGATCTTAAAGAAATATATTTAAGAGCAATCAAAAAAAAAAAGTGTTATTAATGATTTTCATAATATTTAATGTATAGTCAACTCTGGCGCTTGAGTTAATGTATGTTGAAGAGCAACCAAGAGAAACCACATTCCAATCATTTCATCCACCAGAAGAAAAAATGAGAGTTCTTGAAGACTGGGAACTAGAATCTCTAAAATCTAATAGTCGTAAGAACTCACGATTTAGTCTTACTAGCAGCATGAAAAGAAAACTTGGCTCAATTACCTCAAAAACAAGTAGTAAACGCGCAGCAATGGAGGCTGATGCAATGTTAGTTGAAGGTAACAATGGTACAATAAAAAAGAAAGAAAAAGAAAAACCTAAAGTAAAAGAATCTTTGTGAGTAGTTTAATTTAATTAAAAAAAAAATAATGCAAATAATATTTAACAAAAAATAAAGTAGATGATATAACAAACAATTAGTCACAACATCCATCTGCAACAACATCCACAATATGGTTTCTATTGTTATAGTGTGTTTTATGTTTAAAAATAATGCAAATAATATTGAACAAAAAAATAATGTAGGTGATATAATCAAATGTGATAGTGCTTTAGTGGTAGAGGGCTTGCCTCGCAAGAGTTCTACCACTACAGCACTACCACATTTAGCGAGAAGTTCTGAGTTCAATCCCCACTACTTCCCTGGTAGTATTGTGCTCAACTTGTTTCCCCATGCAGCAGCCTTGTTCGTCAAGGTTTGTGTTTTGGAGTTATAAAGTTGAGAGAGGATTGTAACCACAACTAAAGTCACCTCCTCAACTATAGTGGCTTTCTTGGCCTTGGGGAGGTCAATTAACAAATAAACAAAAGATAAAAAACAATTAGTATGTCATAACATCCATCTACTTTTACAATACAGTTTCTACTTTTATAGTGTGTTTTATGTTTTCATTTTTATCTTCACATCATATTAGTCATTGAATAAATTAACATACATTAAAAGTAGGTAAAAATTTTGATTTATCAATGATCGTAATAAACTTTATTTTAAATGTCTGTGTACAGGGTGAGGTATTATAGGTCAAGTTTTAAATAAATTATTCACTACTATAATTTTAAAAATAAAAATCAATCACTTTATGTACTGTGTACAGTACATTAATAGAGAGTTTAAGTATACAAGCTTTATGTTGAGGCAGTGGTAGGAATACAAAAGAATTTCTCTTAAATAATTAATAAGTCTAAGGGAAACTTCCTTTCTAACGCATCACATTTAAAACATATGCTAGAAATCTTATTTCTTACACTGCTTAAAAACGTACATTACATAAATAATTAATGAGTTTAAAACTCATATTTTTGTTTTGAATAATTTTCTTTAATTTTTCTCAGGTTAATGTTTCTCTAACTCCCAATGTCATCATTAAATTTTAAGTGAACTTTGGTGCAGATGTTTTAGTAAAATTGCTTTGATTGTTTACAGAACAGATTTTTTTTTGGAAGTGTTCTTGGAATTGGAAGCGTGTATGCTTAAACTCTCTAATGATATTTATACAGTACAGCAGTTTGTACAGTACAATCACTTTATATATTGACATGTGTACAATACATTAATGACATGTACAGTACATTAATGAAAAATTTTGACCTTATGATCAAAGTAAACTTTATTTTAATTTAATTTTAATTTAAAATGACTGTGTACAGGGTGTGGTATTATTGCTCAATATTTTTTGATAAATCACTACTCATATTAAGTTTTAAATAAATTATTTACTATCATAATCTTAAAAAAATCAGTTACTTTACTGTGTGCAGTACAATTATTATTGTTATTATTATGTATTTCACCATAAAGAAAAATTTACAAAATTATTTGTTATAAAATGTAAATATACGGTTGGGGCAAGAAGAAGACAAATTCAGTCTTATCATCAAGCCCCTTACTTAATTAATGACATGTTTACAGAAAATTAATGGCATGTGTACAGTACATTAATGACATGTGTACAGTACATTAATGACATCTGTACAGTACACTTTGTACAGTATAATTACTTTATGTACTGACATGTGTACAGTACTTTAATGACCATAATAAACTATTAGATTTTTATTGACAGATTTGTCTTAAATAAGAACAGATTTCATAATCTCTTAATTCATTTTTTGTTTATTTGTCATTAATTTAAATGTTGTTTTTTTGTTTTTAAATTGTGGCTTTTTAATATTATTTTATTTTCTTAAATTTTTATTTACAAAATTTTTAATGTTTTTCATGGTTTAATTTATCCAAATTAACTAAATTAAAAATTATTTAGATTAAAAATAATTAAAAAGTAATTAGATTATTATAATTTATTTTAAATATTTTATTCAGTTATTTATTTACAAAATATTTGATATTTTTCATTATTTAATTCAGCCAAATTAATTAAAAACTATTAAAATTAAAAATAATTGAAAAGTAAATAGATTATAATAATTTATTTAAAATATTTTATTTAGTCACTTACATCCAAAAGTTCATATTAAACTTCCACAACAGCGAAAAGAGTTAGATGTTAATGTTGAAATAAGAGTTATTGAAGGCAAAAGCTTAGCTGGGACTCAGTTGGATCCTGTCTGTGACATTATATGCTTTGGAGAAACAAAATCCACACAAGTAAAAGAGCAAACAAATACGCCATACTGGGATGAGGTTGTCATCCTTAGATTTGAATAAAAACCTCAAAAGAGTTGTTTATAAAATATAAAATTGTTATTAAGAATTGTTAAATGAATTGTTTAATACAATATTTAATTTTTTTTTTTATTTTCAGTTTTTTGTTTTTGCTACTGTTAATCAACTTGATATTGCATTTGATGAAATTCTTCAATTCATTGTAAGTATTTGTTATCTATTACACTTTTTTACATGGCACCTATCTTATATTTAAAATAGAGCTTATTAGGAAAACAGAAGAATTTTTTCCCCAGACTATAGTTCTTGTAAAATTTGTGCATAAAGAAACTGTTTTTTAACAACTGATAGTTGTCAGTAGTATATGATAATCCTAGAAGATTTAAACTACAGGGCTCAGAAAAAGTTTTGCCATTCATCAAACATGGAAATATTAGTATTATAAAACCAGAAATATAAAACCACTATCACATTTTTTTGGAGCAATTTGTTTGATAAAAAATATATAATATATCAACAAAGAAATTAGCATTTTCAACTAGATTACAAGTGAAACGAAAGAGATAGAATGGAGTACAATATTGTTATATTTGAACTAACTGCATACACAAATGATGATTTGTGAAAATTTTTGTTATTAATAGATGTTTCATAGGTGTACCTGCATGAAAGATGTTTTATATTTCAATGATTACTGTTTATTCAATTTCTTTTTTTGTAGATTGATATGAACTATTTAATTTTTAAAATTGTTGTAAAAATGGATAATCTTAGTTAGCAATGCTTTTCTCTTTTTTTCCTGATATGTGCTCCTATAAAATGGCACAGATAAAGCTCTTGGTCCTCACTTGAAATCAGCAACCAAAAAATATTAGGATATTTTTTATTCTACAAGAGATAGCTGTCTTAATGGACTGCAAAATGTTACTTCATTTGATACAGTTAAAAAACTAGTTGATAATTAAAAGCACTGCGGTGTGTTTATTAAAGGTTATCTCTAATATTCAACAATTAAGTGTAATGTAGCAAGTATTGGTTTGCATTAAGTCACTTGAACAAGCAAGTTTTTACATTGATTGCTAAAAAAAAAGTGTATTCATAAAAAATTGCTGTACCTGATGAGAAAATATGACCAGTCTTCAAATAAACATATATATATAAAAAAAAGCCAGGGGGCACGTGCCCCCCCTTTTTTTATTTTAGAAAATTTAGGATATAGAGGACTTTTTTAGAAGCTGACTATTGTGCCCCCCCCCACACACACACACACACTTAAGTTACTCTACTTTAGTTAGAGTGGTTAGTAGTTTTCAAAATTTTATAAAAATGGAGGCAGAAATTACATAATAAGTTAACTTGCCCTGCTCACGTGACCAATAAATTAGTTTTAAAATCTATTAACTACTTTTAAAATAAAAAACTTGTAATTGAGTTTATGTACAGTAAAACTAAAATTTAAGATGTAAAGTAGTAAGTTAAACTAAATTTTTGATTGCTGAGTTTTTCAATCTTTTTTCTTAAATAAGACCTACCTACCTTAGACCTACTACCTTACCAATCTACTGCCTTAAATTATGATTATTTACCTTAAAAGCTTCTACATAGAATACAGATATTACCTTAGCAACAATCTCTGTTGATTATTTTTACTAAAAAAAAAAAATGCTTAGAACAAATATTATATTTTAAGTTTTTTATTCCTTTTTCTATGGAATATTGTTTTTTTTTTTGTTTATTGCATTTTAGATATTTTTAAGGGATTGATGTAAGCTACAATTTATTTTTTACTTATTTTAATTTTTATAAATACATAAGATTACATTAAACAACTTCTAAGACTATATCATGAAAAAGCTAAATTTTACTGTATTGAAAATATGTTTAAATCAATCATGTTTCATGGAGACAGAAAACTTTTGTTTCCATCATTATTTCATTATTATAAGTTGTTTAATTCTATGTGTGATAATAATAATTTGTTAATTCTATATTTAGGTTTATTCTGGAAGAAATTTAATTTCAAAAGGAGCCATATTGGGGTCATTTAAGGTATTTATAGTTGTACAATTATATTCAATTTCATTATTTAGAATTTCTGTATCTGGAAATAATGAATTCTTTTGAAATTAGTCTGTTTATGAAAATATTTTTAAAAAATCACAAAAAATTCTCTGACCATATAATCAACATTGGTAAGTTGATGTGAACTTTCTTATTACTCTTTGACATATAAGCAACAATGGTTTGTAAGTCGATGTAAGCTTTCTTGTTAAATGCTCTTTTGCTGTAATGACAAGAGAGTTAGATGAATATATTTATTTGCAAATAATAAAATTTTATTTTATTTTAAACTTACTTTTAAGTTTAAAACTGCATGATGTTTTATAAGGTTGTTGTACATCTTGAATGAATTTGTACATTTGAAGACTTCATTAGGACTTTAGGGTGATTAGATATCATAGCCAGGTGACTATAAATTATTTTACAAATTGTATATTTTAAAGTTTAGTTCGTTTTCAAATACATTTGTAAATGTTTTTATGTGACTGTATGATTGTACTCAGCAGGTATTTAGTTTAAGAAATCTTTTAAATGTTATGTATGTCTCTTGAACTTTTAAAAAATGTCTTTTCTGGACCAAATGTTTGCTGCGTATGAACTATCTATATCTATATATATGAAATGTTTTTATAAACAGGAGTTAATTTATATTTTACCAACTGTTTGTTTGAAAAGTTCATATACTCTTATCCTTAGAAATGTAAAAAAAAACTTAAATTTTAAACATCAAATTTTGAAACATCCGTTTTCTTTGAAAATATATCAATTTGTTTTGTGTAAGTATTCTTTACTTTAAATTATTATTTTTGCTTTGAACTAAAAATAGACTTTAATTAATCGTACTTCAGTAAAATTTAGCAATTTATCAAGTTTTCAATTAACTTATTAAATGTATTGTGCTCACAGAAGATATTTTCATTTTAAATATTTGACAAAAAAAAAGTCTATATTTAGTAAATAACATAAGCATCTTTTATGTGTCTATTATATGTCTTCAAAGATGCCCGATATAAACAAATTTTTTAGACAGTAAACAATTGACGTCTTAACATTATCGACAAAATAATAGGTGACATTTTATACACACTTTCGCTTGTAGGTTTATAAAAAATCTAAAAGGAAAACTTCTTTTTCAATCTTGTTCACTGCAATGCTTTACTTATTATTAAAGTTGGATATTTTTATATTAAAAAATGATAGCACTGTGAAGTAGCATATAGAATTTAATATCATTTATTTATATTTTCATAGAAACGTAATGGTTTTAACTGTAATAATTTTTTTCCTTTAAATGTTTTAATTTAAATACTTAAACTCTAAGTTACAGAAATCAGAATCTTTTCTGATGTTAAATAAGTCATAACACAAAAATAAATGTAAACAATTTTGTAATTTCAAAAAAAGAACAAGTGCATTATATTTAAAGCATTAGCCTTTATTTTATTATGTTTTATAAAACATCATAATAATAATGTCATGTGTGGAAAAAATTGTGAGTTAGTCCATATACAATTTTTATTATGGTAAAAAACCAAAATCACTTAAGCTCTATTATATATACCCCTAGAAATATAAACTAATGATTAAAATAGAAATATAAAACTTTAAATCTCAGTAAACAAGTGTAAAAGATGCCAAGATGTCTAAATGAGGTTGTTTAGACGTCTTTAAATAACAATATAAATGTAGTCTTAAGTGCTTATTCTGGTATTGTAGTATTGTTGTTATCTTTTATTACTTTTAGTTGCTTTGATAACGACTAATTTTTTTTTATCTTATGTGTTTTTGTATATATTATTATTATTATATTATATTATTAGCCTCAGACTAAAAAGTTTTCTTTTCAAAGATGTATTGAAGGTAGTATTAGCAGATGTCTTAAAGACATCTTTATAAAGGCGTTTTTTAGCTTTATGATCTAGTTGTCTTTGAATAGGTTTCTTAGACTTGTTAAAAGACAACTTTTAGATATTTTTAAAATGTTTTGTATTTACTGAGTTGATTCTGTAAAAGACATAAAAAAAGTAGAATCTCTTTTCTGCTTTGTGAAGCTTAAATTAGATTGTATTTATTAGAACAAATGATACATGTTCTAAAGTACATGCAGGTCTATATTGTTGGAAACTAACAGTGTGCCCCAAAATAAATTATGTAACAGCATACAACATTGGCATATTACAAATAAAAAGTTTATATAACAAAATAGCATTAAGAGTACAACTTATGCAATTATATTAGTCAATGCCATTAATATTAAATTATTTTACTCCTAAAAATTTTGATATTATTTGCATTAACAACATCAATAGGCAGCTAATTCCAAACAACTCAGTGAGAGAAACTATATTTTTAAGTAACTATTCAACATTTGTTGTTTGTACATCATATATTTATAACCTCAGGTGTTTTTATTGTTGTCAATAAAAAAGATTTATCAATTAAGATTAAGCTGTGCAGAATTTTAAAACAAGTTGATAAGTTTTAATAATTTAATTTTCAAGTGACTCCAAATCAACAACTCAAGTCAGCCTTTCCAACTCAAGATATTTTAATAATTAAATTGCATAGGTGCAGGATTTTTTTTTGTAAAATGCTTTGCTTGTTCACAACTGCTTTTATTAACTCAATTTGATATGGAGATTAAACTGGAGAGCAATATTCTGATATTTAAAGCATTTTAAAATAAGATATGCTCTAGTGTTAGCTGCACAAATACATAAAATAAGAGCAAATTTTTTTAGAAAAGTGTTTGTTATTCCATTGGGACTATAAGATGTACTGAATTTGAGTTCAGTTAAAGTTAAATATACCATCTTAACAAAAAAAGTTGTTTTTGTCTTTTATAGTTTCTAAGACTATGACCATAGGTATACTTAAGTTTGGAGCTTGCGCAAGCTCCAAAATTAAATATACCTATGCCAAATGTGTGAAAGTGTCTTATCTAGAACATCAAAAAATTCTGCTGACGCCCATGCACATATGCCACCCATTATATACTGGCCCTGAGTAAAGCGTATTTCAAGCAAATTTTTTGAGTTGACAAAAAACAGGTTTTAGCAGTGTCGTGGCTAATGGGTCGGAGGCGCTCCCAAAAAACGTGTCATTTGGGTCTCAAAATCTCCCAAATTTGACCGCTAGGTTTTGCTAAAATAAAAAGCTCCTTAAATTAGCAAAAGGGCACAAAATTTTTTTGATGATAGAATCTACTTCAGTAGATTCTATTTTACTGAAGAAGGAGGGGGTCCCTCCTCTAAAATTCCCTTGGCTTATGAGATGGTATTAAAAGTTTGGTCAAACTAGTTGTTCCAATTTCAAACAAAATATCTATTTTTTTTTTTTTACCATATAAATTATCAATATAGTTTTCTGTATAATTCAGGAAAAAAAAAAAAAAAAAGTGTTTATTTTTGCCTGAGGCTCATAATATTCCTTTAATCTTCTAAATGATAATCTTAAAATCACAAAATATTCAAATTTTCTTACAATAGTTTCTAAGCTGTATTTTTTTTCCTGATTGTACAAAAGCTCATGCCGCAAATGTCTTGCCCAAAAAAATTCATCTCTGCTTTTTCAATGAAATATTAAGAAGATTCAGATTTTTATTTAGAATGGTATTAATCATTAATATTTAAAATATTGGATTTCAAGTGTTGTTTCATAGACAAATTGATGCATATTAAGACTATTGACTAGAGTTAAAAATAAGCTATAACACTTTTTAGTGTCCACTTAATTATGGTTGTTGGTAGGAGGAACTCAAAAGTTTTGGATAGTTATGATGTTGTTATAATTAAAATGCTTAGTTCAGTTCTGTAAAATAGGTTAATGATAGTAAGAACTTCTGTACAAGTACGTATGCTTCAAAATTTTTTTTATACCATTTTCGATTATTTTCACAATAATATTTAATTTATGTTTTAGGAAATTTCCAGATGGTTTTGCAATTGATTTGTGATAAATGTTAATAAAATTTTTAAAATTTAAAAATTTTAAAAATTTTATTAACATTTATCTTTTTAACAATTTTACTTTTTTTTGAGGTTTCCATAATTAAATTTTTCAAGATTTTCATAAAGTTAAATATGTTTTATTGAT